CACCACCACCACCACCACCACCACCACCACCACCACCACCACCACCACCACCACCAACAACAACAACAACAACAACAGCAACAACAACAACAACAACAACAACAACAACAACAACGACAACACCAACGACAACTTGTACCAACCTCGCGCCAGCTCAACAAGATCAGTTCGTAAGAACATAAAGGACAAGGACAAAGCTCTCGGAGCTGATCCATCTCTGAGAGATATGCCATGTATTCCATTTCATTAAGTATCGTTGGAGGAGACGGAATGCATATCTGGCCTTTACAATGACTCGCGGTGGCTTACCAAAATGTGTCGAGTCAGTGCTGCTATCCTCTCAGACAAGTCTGGTACCAATTTACCGACTCTGGAGGGATGGAAGGCTTGGTGAGGCTGGGGAGCCGGGATCGATTCTGTGTATTGCAGGGCGCGTTCGACCAGTGCGTAACACACTACCCTCATAAAAACGTATAAATAAATATTAAACGCCCAGTAAAAAAGAGCAGACGACGTACACACGAGCAAATTAAAGACAGTTGAAAAGGCTAATTACAAATTCATAAAATATTTCATGCACTCTGGAACCGCTAACGTAACCGAATAGACTAAAGAAATAACCGGCAAGCCGTATTGACTCAATTGGTTGGAAAGTAGAAGCGTTAAGGTGGCTAAATAAGTCACCTAACTTCGTTGGGTTATCTAGCAGTAGAAAGTTTCTCAACGAAACCAGAAGGAAACCATTCATACACGAAACCAAACCTTTTAGGTCATTCAAACAGAAAATCACGAATTCGCTGCCAGGGCAACCAACGACAACGAATAGATACTCAGCCGACCTGATTTTCAATGCACGCGGCTGCGTCGCGTTCCTTCGATGACTGCGGAGGGGCAGACAACCAATGCCATGGTTTGGCGTGGGTTTGTGAAAGTAAGGTTCTACTGGGGTTATCTTTTAGTTCAGATTCACTGTCGCGAGTTTACCTATTGGTGTATCAAACGTGCTGAATGCCCATAAGGTGCTTAGAACTACTTATTGGAGAAATCGATACGAAAGTGTTGACGGGCAACCCTTGATGCTACATCTTCTGGTCTTCTGCACTTCTGCACCATCGGCTTGGATGAATTTATACCAATTTAACCACTTATCTTTAAATTACACTCTTTGTCAGTAAGTACGTCTTTGTGGTGATTTTCAGCTTCCCCGGATTGAACCTGCCAGTAATTCTTCCTGCGTGGTTCAGTAATGTTGGTCCTTAGCAGGGTTAATTTTTCAGGTTTTACATATTTTTTCTTCTCTTTGATCTCTTCGAATATTCATACGAAGTTTCCCAACGTTGCCATGCACTTAGTCTACTCTTCCGTGCTTGAATTTTTTGGAAAACTCTTATTTTAATCATTTAATAGCCCATCTGCGCATATCTTGTAGGTCCTAGTGCAGTACTCATTGCTGTCTTCACGGTTGGCTAAATTTTCCTTTAAGGAGTAGGTAGGAGGATAGCAATCCGAACAGATTTACAGTTTGGAGGTTCTGGATCGGAGGGAATCTTGGGCCCAAATCTCTGCTTAAATAAGACTCCTAGCTTTGGTTTACTGTTCACTGAGTTTCCAGTTGACATTGTTTAACGTTCCCTTGGTCTGAGAAATCCTGCCTGGTGATGAACTTCTTGCTACGCATTGTAGTTCTTGGGTGCAGGGTAAGCCATAGAGAAAGGATGGCGATGTAGTGTACTTTTGTCCTTTCTATGGTTAGTTTTAGTCACTAGAAAGGAGATATTTAGAGTAAACCTAAGCACAAACCCAAGTTTTAACTGGAGTCTTTGGCAATGGAAGATAAAGTATATTCGTCTTTCTCTGTCTGTCATTCTTGAGCTCCTCAATGGGTCCCGTTTGCTCTCGGGAAAAGTTGTTGTTTTTGATGATAGGTATAGAAGTGTCTCACTCCCCAAAAAAGCAGGAGTTGAACGGTTGATGAATAATACGAACTGAATGTTTGAGTATTAAGATCCATTGAAATAATATGAATTCTTCAAAATTTCGTCTTTAAGGCGATACCAACTGACATTTCTTGGTCCACTCAGAAATCACTGTCAATCGTTTAGAGCACTAAATTCGACGTACTTTAATTCCTTTTTGAATATGAAGCTCCAATTTTCCTAGCTCTAGCGCTTTTGGTCCCTCCCTTCTTAACTTAAAAGAAGAGAGCTAAAAAAAAGCTTTCTGCCTCCGGAGGGATGGAGGGCTTGGTGGGACTGGGACGCAAGGAGGGATCCCATGTGTATTGCATGGCGCTTCCTACCACTGCGGTACACGGGCCCCTTACCGACTTACGACTCATATCCTCGTGGAGCGGCCGCGATCTATACGTTTTTTATCCGATATTATGTTGCATGACAAGGATGCTGCCTTTGTCGCGTTTAAGCACCATCTTCACCAGTACGAGTGTTCAGTACATCTGTACACCATGCATGGAATTAGCTCGTGGCTCTTGGAAAATTCGTTCTGACAACTTTCTTTTAAATCCTAGTAAGTAACAAATAGCCGTTGTTTTGCAACGTTTGCAGCGAGAACTATTTCAATTTACTGCAAAAGGTACCTACGGTACAAAATAAGCATTGCACAGGGATTGTGGGTGCATGTAGCGCAAAGGTTTGGAGCGCTCTGGAATAAGCATAGGTTCGATCCCACGCCAAAGGCTCACCAAGCCCTCCATCACTCCGGGGTCAGCAGATTGGTACCAGACTTCTCCGAGAGGATAGGAGGATTGACTTGATACATCGGTAGCCCACCGCGAGTCACTTTATAGGCCAGATAAGCATTCAATCACATCTAAGTATACTTGATGAGGTCAGATGCATGGTGCATCCCTAAGGGACTGATCAACGCCGTGTGCTCTTTTTAGGGACTATTAAAGAGCATGTATTGAAGTCAATGCGTACGGTTGCGAATTTGTTCAATTTTTTCATTCTTTTCTGAAAGTAAGCGAAGTCACAAGGATTTATTAAAGAATATTACAATCAGATGTGTAGATCTTATGAAATGTTGCTTTTCGGATGGAATAAGCAAGCGGTTAAATAATTCGGACGAATTTAAACCATAAGTTCTTACTTGGTACTTGATACTTGAATAGACCGTCCTCAGCATAATCTCCATTTTTCGGAGATTGGCTGGTGAAGCCATTGTGGTTTCTTGTGATCCCGAGGCCATCCTGGGCAAAGTCTGTCACAGGTCTTCACCACCACGGGTAGTCACAGCCCTTATGGATCAAAGGGAGATTTGTCACCATGCGACTTTGATACCAGGACGGTGGCGGATCCTGGTATTAGTTTACTCTTAACTGGACTTCTTGATGGAAACGCCGGACTCCTTCTTAGCTTGGAAAAAAGTACCGGAGCATGAATCCCCCGCTGTACATCGCAGTCCGGCACCCAGGAACACTTCCCAGCCACAGTGAGGCGGTAAACGTTGGGAGGAAATTCCTAAGCACATGACGAAAATCTTTTGCACAATACATTTGACAACAAATGTATTACTGTGAATAATATTTGAGTCCAGGAGATTTTGTAATTTTTCGCTTTTGTTTCATGAAATGGATAGAGCGAACCGAAAGGAAACTTGTTTCTTCGGGGATCGGATCCCTTAGTTCTTCATGTTTTACCAGCTAAACGCGAAGATCATGTTTAAAGGAAGGAGCTACACATTAATTTGACGAATTGTACAATAAGTTCGCTCCTTGCTTTACGGCATAAAGCGAAGCTGTTGGAGGCGCCTTGCAAAATAATGGTGTCTTTGCTTCGACCCCGCACTCTGTAGAAACTAAGACCCATCTCTGTTCGGAAAATTAGTGGTACACTTGTCTGGGAGGACGACAGCACTGAGTTTACACATTAGTAGGCCACCACAGCTCATTATATAGTTCGAATTTGCATTCAATCCCCTTATCGCTTCTACGAATGGTGTTGAATGCGTGAGAGATCACTATGAGCTTAGTCAGCGCTTTATCTTTCGTCTTTTAAACTACTTTTAATTCTCGTTGTATTACTGGCCTCTAAAAGAAGGCTGCAAAGCTCCGGTATTTGTATTTGAGAGCTCATTCTCCCTAAATTCTAATCACTTCTTTAGTACCAGGCAATGGCAACGAAGGAATACTTCGTACCATCGGAAGAAGTGATGACTACCATAGTGCTTCCTACGATAATTTTCTGTATCGGAATGGTAGTAGCGATGTTGGTTGGCATTAACAAATGTAAACAATGGGAATTGGATAAAATCGTAGAAATGCGCCGTACTCGAAGAGTTCTCCAACGGATAACAGCCCGTCTTCGAGAGAAGAATTTCAAGACTATACAAAGTATGTTTATTGACTTTCGTGGAAATTCTATAAATCCTAGGCGATGTAATTGTGCTTGTCACAATTTCAGATAGTTGTCGCGTTATAAATTATGAATTTTGGATATTTTAAGACCACTTTTAGAACGAAAGCTGTCAGATTTCTGGAGCGGCCAAGTAATATAAAAAAAATTCCATGAAGCTCAGGAACTAATTCAGATGTTCGTAACATGCGAAAACGTGCAGCAGCAGCAAAGGCAGCCGCAAAGATGACGGAGAACCAGGGGGCACCTCCAATTTATTCAACCCAACAGCAAGCTGTGTAAGCTTTTTACGTAATCTGTGTGACTAAACGTAAAGAACTTCTACGAAAAGAAGTAAAGCCCACTAGTGAAGCAAACGTATGTCGTCTGGATGTCGTCAACAAATTAACCTCTTTAAATGTTTCAGTTGCGGTGTATCTCCACCACCATCGTATGAGGATGCACTACTGGACGAATATTACTACGAGTGCTTGCCTTCTAGTAGCAGGTATTCTTAATTGTCTAAACATTGTCTTAATTTTTATTTAGTGCTTGTTCTTTTTCATGCTAGAGTACTGCGTGTAATAAAGCCACAAGGACGGTGGGACATGAGCAAAATTTGGAACCTTAGTTGGGCTTCGAACTCGCGACTAACCCAACCGAGAGATCACGGGCTATCCACCGCACAAACTGATGGGCTTGGCTTTCTCTCATCCACTTTTTTATTCTTTCGCTGCTATCGACAATCACGCGTCAGCGGAAATGATCCAGGAAGCAAAAATCGGCACTGAACCAAGTTAAGTTGATGCTGAAGTCGAAATCTCACTCTCAGTCGAAATCAGACAAACGGTAGTCGCAGGTTCGATTCCGAACTACGGTCCCGAGTTTTCCTCACTACTGAGAATCCTTGCGTTTGTATTTGTCTAGACATTATTTACTTTCTAGTGAGAAGCACTTTATTTTGGGCTTGACTGAACAGAAAATATGACCAGTACAAAAAACTAGAAAGCGGTTTACTGCTACATGCTTATGATCTTCAGTGATGTAATTGTACTATTAAAATTTTCAAAACACTCTTCTCTTCACCAGTTTTGTTTTATGGTATTTTCTTTTAAGTACGGTCCATAACCATTTGATGAAATTCGAAAGGTTCCCAAGTTCTTGTATTGCTGCCAGGACGACACCTATAAGGCTGATGAACTCTGTGACCGCCATAGTTACAAAGGCTGAAGATGAATTACATTCAGTCGAATGGATTGTGGGACGATAAATTCCTTCCAAACTGTGAACCACTTCGAAAAATCTAGTTCTCCAAAAGCTTAATCTGCTCCTAACGATGACGTTGACGTCCACTGTTGTCGAGCGACATGAATAACCTGTTGTTCATCAAAAGTCGAATGCTTGTCGCATTCCTAAGGGACAGGTCAACACCGAACGCGTACTTCACGTTTTTTCTAGTTTTTCTCAAGCTTCTTCCAGATGAAGTTCAGTCTCTCTAATATAACCTTACTAGTAGCTTATTAGGTTAAGTGTTATAGATCACATTCAATCACAAAAGTGAGCAACAGGCGGACTTCAACTCAGTCTCGTGCTTCTCGCCGAAGTGGACGTAGTAGCAGAAGGACGAGTCATGCGAAACACCATGGGATTGTGGCCGTTTGATACAATTGTATATAATAATACATTTTTTCTAGGAAATAGCTATCTAACGGTAGTTCTACTTCACTGCAGTTTCACTACAGTGGTTTATTACGTTTAGGAAAAAATTAGGAGTCCATATGTCCATAAGATTTCTCCTTTTTCTTGTTCATATTTTTTTTTCAAATTTCGGTTCTTAATACTTTATTGGACGTGCAAAGCCAATGGCTGCCAATATTGCCTGCAGCCTGACCTTAGTCTGTCTGCTTCTTGTATGCAAAGGAAAGCTAATGATTTTCGAGTGGTTTTAGTTTACGTGACTTATAGTTCGTAAATTCTTGAGGTTGACGTGGCTTTGTATTATAAGGTTATTTTTTGTCATACCTCACAGTTGTACATCGATTAATAGGGTTCCTACAAGTTGTGTGTTGTTTTCAAGCTGATCTCACCGACCATCAACGATGTCTTTAGCAAACATTTCTAACAGAATGTTTTCTTCATGTGATTAAACCACTTATTTTAGAAACTGTTTTCATAAGGAATAAAAGGATAAAGCTGTCGGCGTTGATCAATTCCTGAGGGATGCGCCATGCATTCGGCTTCATTAAACATGGTTTGGAGGTGATTGAATGCATATCTGGCCTTTACAGTGACTCACGGTGGCCTACCGATGTATTGAGCCAGTGCTGCTATCCTCTCAGACAAGTCCGGTACCAATTTACCAACGCCGGAGGGACGGAATGCTTGGTGGGCCACGGGCGCGAGGATAGGTTCCACACATTTGTTGCAGGGCACCTCCGATCACTGCGCCACAGGCGCACTAAGGTGTTTCCATGGACCAACAAAACCCTCAATGTGGAAGTGTAATTTTTATCATAATTATGTTTGCAAGGAAAAGTTCTCAGGTGCTATGCGCATAATAAAAGGATAAATATTAACTAGAGTTTCCGGAGTACAACAGATTTTCAGGCATCAGTGTATCTGAATAATTTTTGCCTATACAAATCCTTTTTTTTTGTATTCATAGACTTGTTGGAATGCAAAAAGCGCAACGATGAGAGGTATGGTGCTACACATATACTTGGTAACTGGTTATACCCACCCCATCCAAGATGGGATAAATCTCGTATCCTACTGGAATCAGGGAATTGTTACCAGACTTCTGTGGGAAAATGTCCTACCATCTGCAATGGTAGGTGACTGTTTGGTGAAAACCTGGGAACACTCTAATAAAGGTATAACTGCATATGGAATCAGTTTTATCGATATTCGACTGCAGGACAATGTTCTCAAGTGGCAGCCGAACCCACAAGGAAATCCGAAGTGTTCATGGACGACGGATAAGAAAGAAAGGACGGAATGGAGGAAGTACTGGAGTTTGTATAATACGCGTCATACATGTTAGTTCTACATATATTTTTGTTATTTCCTTTAACTATAGTTTTATTTGCAAAGGTGTACTACCGAGTTGCAGTAAGTGGTGTTCCTGCTGTATAACAGCGGTGTGCAACAAGGGTTCATTCGTCTAGGAAACGATCCAAGATCAAAGGTGTTACATTTCCAAAACCGAGCCATGGAACTTCACCTGTGCAAGGAATCTCTGCCGTCTTTGAAGAAACCTAATTACAATCCAGCGAACCATTCTTGCTTTTAGATTTCCCGTTGATTGACTGTTATGACGGTGTGGGAACGTCCTTTTCCGGGTATTTTCAGAAGCCAACAGAAAAATCCTAGTCCAAGTAAGTTTATACCCGTTAATTTCTTCATGAGGACCGCAGTTCAAGTTTACCCATAAAACATTTCGATTTGTAACTTAAAATGTGTTTCTTATTAGCAATATCGGAGTGGAACTTTGTCGTAGTTCGACCGCGTAAAAAGTGAAGCACTTGAAGTTTTGCGGTTAGAATGTCTTGTCTTCTGACTTCCAAACATCAGTTAACTTCAAACAGGGATGTTACATAACAAATATTTACTTTGAAAAGCTAGTAAAATCCTGGAAATATTCGAAAAGGGACTTTATTACAGTACTGCAACCATGACTGGCCATACTTCGCTACACATCGAGACTCGTCGAGCCAAACACGACTGATCAGATATCCTAAAAAGTGTTATTTAGGATAATGCTTGTTGAAAATTGCGCCTAGTTGCATAGGATTACATAGGATAGGAGCATGTGGATGCAAAACTGTGGAGAATTGTTAGTCTCAATCCACATCTTCGTAAAAGTTACAAAATTTACCCCCGAGGAATGAGCTTTTCTACACCATCGATATCTTAGGGTAGTAGTTGATTTATCACATACCTTAACTGAATGTTAAAATCCAGGCATAAAAGGGATCTGGCCTGAGAGAGATTTTGTTGAACTAATAGAAAGCTGATGTACCTGTGATGAAAAGGGCTGGAAAGTGGCACGCAACTGGTACATAAGGACCTTGAAAAGCCGAGAAGGTAAAGAACGTTGCGGCTTCACAGAGGTAGTTCGGATGTCGAGATTTCGACCAGTAACCACTTCCTGAATAGTATACTAATTGTATTCGTTACAAAAACACACCTAATCGCTGCGAAATTATTGTTAAAGGTGAAATCCAATAATTAATTTTCCTCGTAACCTAATCAATGCCCACGTTATGCATTGTGTTGCCTTATACGCAACCTACCAATGGTTCACCGCCTCATCGTGGTTGGGAGTTGTTCCCGGGTATCGAGCTGTGATGCACTGCGAGGGTATTCGTCCTCCTTGCTGCTTCTCTCAAGCTGAGAAGTCTGGCGCAACTATCATGAACGCCAGCTAAGAGTAAACCAATATCAGGATCCACCACAGTCCTGGTACAAAATTAGCTGCATGGTGGTAAATCTCGCTCCGATCCACAAAGGCAGCGATTGCCTGTGGTGGCAACGAACTGGGGCAGACTTCGGCCAGGCTGACTTTAAGACTCCAGGAAAACACAATAACTAAACCAACAAAGCTCCGAAAAATGGGGATTGTGCTAAGGACCGGACAACCAGTTAGAACGGACCATTTTGGGATCCTAAGTAAGTGCACGCGCAGTACGGTGTATAACAGAATGAAAACACATTTCAAGTCTTGCTTGGAAAAGCCAACGAAATGCTAGCTTTTCGTCGTCATCACTAATTGTATTAGTAATAAGCAAACTGTATAATTCTGAAACACACCAAGAAGTAGATTAGCCGACGTTTCACCTTGTTCGTTTTTATATTTAGCGGTAATGAAAAACGGATCAAGACCACCGATTTTCATCTTCCCTTTCGATCTTCTAAAATCGAGAAGTTTAGAAAGTTGATAGAAAAAGACATACTTCTCTCAGCATACAACTATTGCCTGTATGTGCTTAATATGCACTTAAAGAAGAGTATTCTTAGGACCAAATTCGTTCTTGAATTTTTGCTTGCGAGAAAAAATAATTGAATAGTTGTCGCTTCACCCCGTCGCACCCCAGAATTGCCAAACCGATCCGGTCTGCAGGAAGGTAGATACGGAAAGTTCGCTGACTCCCGTAGTGGAACTCGCTATACCCACGATTGCTAGTTGGTTTTCCAGTAATAACTGATGTGTTTATTTTCCTGTGCTAACATAGAAACGCTTTCCACGTACTTGGCCTTCAGTGGATTCTTCAGCGGCGTACAGGATATGCCATGCGAACTGGCACGCACATCCGCGCGTGTATCTATGAGTGTAAATAAATATACAGGATATAAAAAATCTGATCTAACAGAACTACAGTGCATAGTGAATCCACCTCATTCTCTGGGCAGATTGGTTGTCGCTCTTGGTTTGCGACTAGTCCTTATCCGCCAAATAGGGATGCACCAATTAGCCCCAATATTAAGAAGGGTGAGATCTCTTGCAGCCGCCTGCCCTTTTGTATCGACGAGAGATTTGTTACTTTACGATGACGCTTCTACAAGAATGTAAACGATTCCTCACATTGGTTTAGTGTTTTATAAGTCTCTAAGTGGAAATTTCATATCCGAGTTTCTCAGACAAACTTTCTATTGAGACCGGCATTGATCAATAATTCACTATTTTCTTGATAAATGTACATGAGATTGTTATTATACTATTTATTTATTCACGAAGGCTGACGCTTCGGTGGTTTCCGTCTTCTCAGATCAGACGTTTTTTCGGTTTAGGCGTAGCGTGCCGTAAGCTGACTTGTACATAATTGCCTCAACTAGTTACATTGAATATCATGACGGCGAAATCTGACAGTTGAAAGGAGCTAAAGTGCTTTGCCATATTTAGCTATTCCGGTTTACCGTCTTACCGTTGCTGAGGACGTGTCTAGGACAACGCCGAAATATAAAACGAGTACTCACTCCAGTGGTAGGGGTCTTCCAAACACTGGAAGTGCTGGACTTTACTGTCCGTAGAACTAGATTCTGTCACACCTACGTCGGCACGAAAGAAAAGGGTCACACGGAAACTGCAATATTTCTTGCATTTTTCTAGCCAGTAGAATACATTTAAATGCTCTGGAACAGAAACCATTGAAGATGACACTGTTACTTGCCTTAGTTAAAAAAAGATGAAGCATTCCGCATTGATCAGTCTTTTAATGAGGTGCCTTGAACTCGAGTTCAGTAAGTATTGTTAAGCGTGATTGAATGCATATCTGGTCCATACGATGACCCACAGTGGCGATCCGGTGTATTGAATCAGTGCTGCTATCTTCCCGAAAAAGTTTGGTACCAATTTGCTGATCCCGGAGGGCTGGAAGGCTTGGTGAGCCTGTCGCGCGGGATCGATGCCATGTGTGTTGCAGGTCACTTCTAAGCACTGCGCCACACGCGTCCCTTCGCCTTAGTTACTCGATGATTATGTTGCAAAAGACGATGCAGAAGAATTATTTTCGAAAGTTCGTACCTGAAGTCATATTTTTGCTTGTCGATAGCAACTGTCATATACATGAAGAATAAGGCGATAGCAGTGAGCACAACGGATGTTATCAATGAGATCGATCTTTGACTCTGAGCTATTATTGATATCGGCGAGCAGTACAGTATGGGAAAGAGAACCTGGAACATTTGTAGATAATAGTGATAGTAATAGCAATAGTAGGAAGAATGATAAGGGAAGTAATAATAATGACAGTACAATAATGACGACAAATCGAATTCAACAATGCATTTAGAAAGTTAGGAAAGGGGATAAATTTAAGTGTGATATATTTTCCCTTTGCTGATAAATCGCTGACTAGTGGGTAGGTCTTCACTGAATTACTGTCGTTCTACAAAAACTGACGAACCTATTCTCATTCCCTGAACCACTGAAATAGTGATCTTATTGGAAGCTATTAAATCCCCCTCATCGGTTAACCTTACCTCAGCAATAGATTCCACCTTCATACGGCCGGTTATTGGAAATAAGGAACAGTTTAATATTTGGTTCGGAGTTCAGCTAGAAAGATACCTCACTTTGATTAATAACGGTGGAAGGCTGTTGCTACCAAAGGGTACCCATCGTATTCATGCCTGGATTCCGAGATTAAATACTTAGTGAACCAAGAAAATTACGTTTGAGACTGTAGGATTTGTGAAAGGGGTTTGTGAAAAGTGAAAAAAGAATGCAAGTGAAATGCTCCTTAGATTGTCCACAAAGTGGTAAAACCCCAGTATAATGAGAATTTTCATCGAATCGATCGGGATCTTCCTTATGTTTTTGATGTTCTAGTAATCAATGAACATCATCGGCGACCACTCAGAAGGTCACGACAACCAGTGAGCTTTAAGTGGCTGACACTTCTGGTCCCTTTTTCTTGCTACGACTTACCATATCGCTCCATAGTTTATAGATACCACAGTTGGAACGTTTATAGTCGAGAGAGTTTAGCGCCAAATATTCGGTCCAATGATATTTCAGAATATAAGTCATTTGAACTAAGCTGCATCCCATTAGACTTTCTGAAAAGCTCCAGAGGAAAAAGCTATTCTATGAGTTATGATTTGGTTATAATCAACTGATCAATGCTTAACATGTAGTGCTTTAGAAACGGTTTGGTAGAAATTAGGAAAAAGAGCATATAGAAATGGTAAAACGTTGTTAGAAAGCGGATAGCCCAGCGGGTATGATCCTGCTCTTTACGCAGGCGGACCATCCACAAGGCGGAAACTCACCCTGAATCCACCAAGCCTTTCATCCTTCCGACGTAGAAAAATTGGTAACAGCTTTGTCTGGCACGAACTCACTCCCAGTAATCAACATGGGAACGACTCAACATGGCTACGCCGCGATTTCAAGCAAAATCGACTCGATTGGTATTCAACGACGTTCGTGAAGAAAAGAAAAATCCTCAACCAGCAGCCGAAGCCACGCGCCAAAAACTTCGAAGGCCTTCAGGGATATTGGATGCGAGGGAATATAGGAAATGTTAGAATCCACGTAATAGGATACATGTAACGTCGGGTTATGTAATATTTAATACTAGTAATAACAGCAACAATAGTGAAAATAATAATATGTGGTCATGTATGACCTACCAGCGAACTTCGTGCTTCTTTAACTTACACATCAAGCTGTTAACCGATTTATCGATTAGTTATTGTTCAAACGACAAAAATTCCCAGCTTATTTTAGGTTATGAAAACCTGGCTTCTGCTAAACGTCGTTCAGTTTATGTGAACGGAATCTTTGTTAAATTAAGTACATCCCCCGAAACGGATTTTTCCGACGGTTTTAGAGCCCAGTCGAAGAAGATAAGGTTAAGAAAGAGCGAAAGAACGACAAGTTATTGAAGATCTCAGTGGGTAACTAAAGACAAGCATTCAAACGGAATGAAGGAAACTTCTGGTTGCTCACCTGTGATTTTTCCCTGCATATTTCTTTGATAGTACAATGATGAAATGATAAATAACGGCCAGATAACGAGTGTGATGCAAGATCGAACAAAATGCTTAACGTCGATGTCGAGGATTGTTGGACGAAGTTCGACACCAAAACAGAACTCAGATATGGTAGTCACTGAAACAAATGCGCTTAGTAAGTGTGTTATATGGAATTTTGTCAATCACCAACAAAAGCGGGAAGTGGCGAGTTCCATTTATCCCCATTGCCCTCCAGAGCTTCCTAGGGAGCTCTCAACAAGCATGACAAGTATCGAGCCATTCGTATATTGTTCTTTTCCCACTGTTCCTTGAAAAAAACTAATCCGGTGATTGGTTTGAACTTCGACTCGAATTAACTCCACTCTTTTTTAGGTTTCTGAATGAAAATGTCAGGCTTCTTTTTTAGCTTGGATCAACCATCCCTTTTGTGAAGAATGAAGCCTCGCTGAAAACCGTAGTCAGGTGGCCAAGAACGCCCTTCGCCCTGATTGGACAAACAGTGCAATATTTGGAGCATGATCAAATACTCATATATCGACGTAAATATTGACAAAAAACAAGAGCAAAATGAGAAGAGAAGATTAGCGTCTGAAGTGCTTCAGATTTTGGACATGAACAAGTTAGTGATGGTTTTTGCCAAACAGCATACCCAATAACTACCGGGAAAACCTGGAAGAACTCAAAGCAACTAATTTATTTTAAAGCAAATCCCTTTGATTCGACTAATTTCTGACACAAATTTATTTTTCTTTCGAAATTTTTGGAAGGGGCCTGTATAGCGCAGTGGTCGGAGACGCCGTGCCACAGACATGGGCACGATCGCAGCTCCCCAGGCTCATCACCAAGCCTTCTGTTCCACCAGGGTCGGCAGGTACCAGAGCTGTTTGGAAGGAATGTAGCGCTGGCTCGACATATTGGTAGGCCACCGTGAACCATTTTAAAGACCAGATATGCATTGAATTATCTTCAAACGATGCTTAACGAAGTCGAATGTATGGCGCATCCTTTTAGAATTGATCAACGCCGAAAGCTTTGTGATTTTTCTATCCTTATCAACATTTCGATCAGATATGGGTATCCCCTCCTCCTAGGAGACTTTCGTATGACACGGCTTTATTGAGCGAAGTCTTATCTGTTCCTCATCTGAAGTAAAAGCTTTCTTTCATGATCTATGTCGGTTAGGAGACCTACACTTTTCAATATATTTAATTCTTTTAAAGAAATCCTTTAAACTATGCAATAAGAAGAAACCCAGAAAAGAAGAAAAATAGTGGGATACATACCATTATAGTAGTCTCCGAATCGATAATTGATCAACATTATTCCGTACATTGTCACACAAATAACGGCAAAGCACGTAATGACCGAGGAAAAATGAATAAATAGTAAATCATCACGATAGAGACCAAGTTTTCCACCCATTACATACAACAAACAAAGCAGTAACGATGAACTGAAGCCATTCACTGACTTCTTTGTGTCGCCTGTAATGAACGTATTCAGCCCATTTTCAACCAACAACCAATTAAACAAAAATAATGCTAGGAAAAGGCCCGAGATCGACTACAATTTCAAAATTAAAAAGTAAGATTGTCCTTTCTTTTTTATTTATTTATTTTTTAAAATAAATCTAGTAGCCAGTTACGTAGTCCTTTTTGCAAGAAATGGGAGAACGACGATAACACAAGACATGTACTTGATACTTGATACTAGAACGGCCCGCCCTCACTGGTTGTGCGGACAGTAGCGTAATCACCATTTTTCGGGATTTGTGGTTAAGCCATTGTGGTTCCCTGGAATCCCGAAGTCAGCCTGGCCTCAGTCTGCCCCAGGTCTTCACCACCAAAATTCTCACCAGACAAAAAGCTAGTTTTTTTCTGGAATGCTTCTAAGAATAGCGATCGCCAGTGACAGATACCGTAAGAATATAGTAGTTTTGGAGTGACCTACTTCGTTACGGTGAATTTGAAGCTTTATTTCCTTTTATTTTTTCTTTTCTTTTTTTCCATCCTTTTTTGGTGACTGGGTAATCGATGAAAACAATGTAAAACTTTATGTGTATTTGATTTTGGGGCAATTACTATTTCTTTTCACTCAGCCCCGAAGAAATGTAATGACTGCGAGCTCGTATTGAGTACAGTTCTTTTTTCGATTGTACAAATATTTATGATGCCTCTTCAAAGAAGCAAATAGAAAGTGAAGACTGTTTTTTAAAAACACTTTTGTGCGATCATCTTCAGAGAAAAAACAGCAGTTCTTTTTTCCTACGGTCTTGTTAGATTACACTGAAACTGAAAGTCGACAAAGTTCTCTGTTCATATGCTCTTCGTGGATTAGAAACACCGAAATTAAAGGATGGCTTAGAATCAGAAGCATGAGATTTTACCACCGTTCATATCCTTCACATTATACTTCTATTTATCGCTTCAGTTTCATTTTGTGCTTTCGTAAAGAATGATATCCACAAAAAAAGCTCTGGACGATGAGAAAAAGTGAGGCCGTTCAAAGCGGACGTGTGACTAACGCATGCCAGCTGGGCAATGTAGATAAATCCGGGACAAATTTTTAAAAAATGGAACAAAAAAAGTGGAAATGTAGAAGAAAAGGCAGATCACTAGGCGAATAAATTGTACTCTAGGAGTGGGACTGAAAGACCGGCACTTTTATCGATTACAAGGGATTTCTCGATGAAAAAAGTACTCTACGAGTGGAACTGAAAGACTGGCACTTTTATCGATTACAAGGGATTTTTCGATGAAAAAAGTACTCTACGAGTGGGACTGAAAGACTGGCACTTTTATCGATTACAAGGGATTTTTCGATGAAAAAAGTACTCTACGAGTGGAACTGAAAGACTGGCACTTTCATCGATTACAAGAGATTTCTCGATGAAAAAAAAGTCCGTAACTTACCACTTGAATTTAAAATATAAACGGTGTCATGTGGTAAAACACAGTGGAAAATCAACTGAAGTGATAGAAAGATCACTGTGAATTTCCACGCCACCACATCACTCAGTGATGACATTATTCCTTTCATAAATGACGTTTTCAATAAGGCTGACGTCATCTGAAATGATGGAGGGTTCAACAGGAAATCACTGTGATATGTGTTGTCATTGGATCCGATATTATCCTCAATTTAACTACGACCTTATATATCCTAAAAATTCATCAATCTATCCGTACAGGCATTTAAAATAAAACAATTTAAGCCCAATTTTGGGCCACGTGCCATACGCTTTTAAAGACTGTTAGCCAAAAGTTTTCGCAAAATATAACTTGTAAGGAATGGTTTTTTATGGACCATGTCTGACAAAACACCTGTGTTGGACAAGGTGTCGACTGAATATGAAAGATATAGTGAATAAGCACCGTGTTAGAAAATAAACAATTGCAGCGAATTAGAGTTGAAAACAATGCGTGCAGTCCACTCTGCCGGCACACGTATGCATTTACAGCAGAGCTTACAGTCGCTCATGAGGTAATAAGTGAAAGGCAACTTGACAATGTGCATCTATGTGACCCATGAAGACTACTTTGACTTTCTTTTCTTTCCTTGGTATTAATAACGATTTAGTAGTAATAACAAAATAGTTTTAGTGGCTGCTTCTGACTTCTCGTGGGCGGAAACGCGTATATAACTTTGAAATTTTCGCTGTTTTCCCAGTTCCTTTCTTGGTAATCATTCCCTTGTATTGAAGAAACCCAAGTAAGCATAACCTAAGAACATTTTTTTTAAAGAATTTTCCATTATGACTAGCTCCTATTTCATAATTAGTTTTAGTAAAGTTAAAAATGGCCTCGTGAGCAGCATTATGGTTCCGAGGTCGGCCTGGCCAGAGTCTGCCACAGGTCTTCACCACCACAGGCCACCTTTGTGGATCAGAGGAAGATTTACCACCATGCGACTTTGATACCAGGAGAGTGGTGGATCCTGGTATTGGTTCTAGGCTTCCCGATGGAAACTCCGGATCCTTTTCACCTTGGGAGAGCCTGCCAGGGGATGAATCTCTGCTGTACAGCGCAGTCCGACACTCAGGAACACCTCCCAGCGACGATGAGGCGGTAAACCGTTGGCAGGTGCGAGTTGGTATAAACATCTCAATTCTTTATTTTAAATAACAGAAGCATTCAGAATGGCATGAAAACGTGCAAGAGATTATTCGAAAAAATGCCCACCTGGTTTCTGTCATCTTAGTTATCATTTAACACTGGCAATACTTTTAGTTTAATTTTATGCTGTAGATAATCAAATGAGTATATATTTAATTGAAGCGCCGTAGATAGAGGTGACTTTCAATACAAAGTTGCAGTTGGTTCGATCCAATTCTCGAAGTAAACCAAGCTCTCAGTTCCTTCTGAGTCGGAAAAGTGATAACAAAAGTGTTTCATAGGAAAACAACATTTATTGGAATCATCGGTTGGCCACTACAAGTTATTGTATAGGCGAAAGATGCATTCATTCATCTTCAACGACGATACGAATCGAGTCCGGTCAACGCCGAATAATGTATTATTCATCTTAAACTGTGCTTGATGTTGAAAGAGTTAAGTCGCTAGAGAGCAAGCACGTGTCCTTTGACTTTTAAGTCCATATTGAACTTTAAAACGCCCCAAATGCTCTCCTTCTTCTTCCGCCCAGGTTTTAGCTCAGTATTTTTAGAAGTTCTAGTATCTCTAATATCTACGGATTCCGCAATCCAACTACTTATTCATTGTTTATCTTCTTCAGTCAAGCGTTTCCCATTTTCCTGAAATATTGACTGATGGAAAAAAATTCTCATGGTGGGCTGACCACGTGAGATGTAAACCGAATCGTGAAAGGCCTCAAAATTCATTATGCATTAATATTTCAGTTGCTGAGACTGACTTTTTAAAACTACTATGAAATTTATATCCTTCGAAAAGTTTCTATGTTCTTAAAAGATGAAGAACAGGTGCTAACGATCACTTCAGAATCGAACTCGACAATGGATGCATACAAATAGCGCTTCATCATACTGCGCTTTCCCCACGTTCATTCGCACTTGATTTTTAAATAGATCGTGTGAAAACTATAAACTTACCGCTGAGAGACTACCATGGTGCTGATGAATTAAGAACAAATAGAAGAATGAACTCAACGGTAGAACAACAATCATGCACAAAATGAGTGATTCCGAAGGTTGCTGTTTCTGGAAAAACTGATAGTCTATTTCTCGTGTTTAGACAATCTTTGACAAGATTTTCTAAGAGTTATAAAAGGCTTAAAACTTTATCGGAAACGTTTGATACAGGAAGAAAGGGAGAACATTCTATTCTGCATGAACAAAAAATTAGCCATTCCCAGGAGCGAATTTCTGTTAATCTCGTCATTGTTCAATAAGTTGGTCCTCTGTTCATGAACAAAATCGAAGGTGTCAGTAACAAGATATATTCAATACTGGCTGACGTTTTAGCCCTTTCGTCTTTTTCAGAGACTCAAAAGTCAAAATGACAGCCAAGTACTCGATGAGACACTTTCATAATTGAAGTGGAAACCAGAAAAGTTCGCTTTTTTCAGAAAAGATATCTCGCGATGCACCAGCAGTATATTGACAAAAAGTAGATGTCCTTACCTCATTTTCACTAATATCTTATGTACCTCATAAGCACACACATGGGATCGATCCGTGCGCCCGTGGATTATCAAGCCCTCCATTCCTCTGGCGTCGGCAAGTTGGGACCAAACTTGTCTGGGAGGATAGCAGCACTGGCTCGATACATCGATAGACCATGGCGAGTCATTGTAAAGGCCAGATATGTATTCATTCGCCTCCAACGATGCCTAATGGAGGCGAACGCATGTCGCGCTCTCAGGGATTGTTCATCGCCGAAAGCTTTATTCACTTTTTCACCTCGTAGCATTTTTTTTCAATCTTGGTATTAGACAGTCATTTTTTCTACACCAAATAATATAAAATGAGTGTACTGCAAAAAATTGTAGACCTTCCTTTGGTTGGTTTTTTGAATACGAAGATCTAACGCATAAAAAGTAATCATCCAAAATGCGAGTTTCCTGGTAGTAGTGATGTCTATTCGCTACGAGGACAGTGATGCTTGCACTCCACTCGGGATTCACAAGTCTCTCATCGACTCCGGGTGTGGCAAATTGGCACGAGACTTTTCTTGGATTGGGGTGGTTACTTCGGCGGATTCCAGATTCCCAAAAAGTAAATCAATTGTGAGGATTTGAAAAAATTGAAACCACTTGCGCATCGGCACATGGTTCACGTGTGATAAGAAACGGCCTTTCCTAAAATGTGGAGAACCAGAAAGGCTCTGAAAGCCAACACTCGTTGAAATATTAACCATAGAAATTATTGGCCTGATAGATTTTCCTTCGGGAAGGGTTAGAAGCTACAAATGAGTACCTGCATTTCAAAAACGCTAGTAGTGAAGCGCTTATGTGTGTAATTCTTACGAACTAGACAAAAGTCTCTCTTAAATTTATTATATATTAAATTTGAAAAAATTGTTGATTATTAATGCCGAAGTTTACAGAAAGTCGGTCTTCTGAGCAAACCGTTTAACACAAAAACTGTGGTCCTCTTCTTGTTTTTCGAGCAAGTTGAGCAAGTAATGCGGTAGAGGAAAGGATGGGTTACAGGTTATAAAGGTGATATCGCGATATTGGCGAAACAGAAAGGGTGAGATTTTTCTAAAGAAAAAAAATCGGTACCGCCAGTGCTGCTTGGATCGCCTGAATGTCTTTGGATGAAACGCTACTTCGTCGTAGACTCGGTGTTGAACCACCAAAACTCGTTCGTCGCATTATTCGTTGTTGCATGCCAGCGATTAATGATAAGTATAAAATGCCTAAAAAAGGCACAATAATGACATTATGACTAACGAAGGTCAACAGCGAGCAGGGTTAAGTTAGTCATGAACAGAAACGAAATGAGAAGAAGACTGATGAAAAATGACATCGAACATGGAATGAATAATAGAAGGAGCAAGTGTGATACAGAGCTACGAGAAGAGAATGGAAGAATAAGCTGTTCGACGTCGATCAATTCATTAAGTCTATACCATTCATTCGACTCCATTGGCATTACTATGAATATTAGTGCATCAAAACAGTGTTTTTTCATCCTCACAAACAATTTTCCAAACCCAGATGGGATAAAAGCTAGGTTACCGGGTCGACGTAGAGGTAATAACTATGGGAATGCCAAAAAGACACTTCTAACCACTGGGCCAAATGCGTTCGTGGAGTGGAGAAAAGACGGCAATCTGAGTTTAAAAGTTTTTTCAGTACAATGAATTTTCCTTTCTCAGTACACAGGGATTGTGAATAAATCAAACAATTACCTGTCAAATGAAACGATAGAGATTCAACTAACAAACATTTTACATTCTCAGCTATTTTTTTTTTGAGAAAAAAGAGCAAGTAGATTTGGACAGAGCGGTTCCAGAAGATCGATGATCAGCGAGTGTTTTGGTGAGCGTCGAAGTTAACGACACTCTGGGCAATTGTTGGCGGTCCACTCGAAAGCCGCTTACCATTGAGGTGGTACGGTGAAGAAGTGCAAGACGTTTGGGCAACAGGTTTCACCTGTCGATGATGTTCATAACGTTTCTACGAGCTTCTACTAAACTGCAAGTTCAACCTCTTGATGGTGTTCACAACGTTCCCACGACGCCGTACTATACCAACAGCTGCCGTGAACACTCAAGCAAAGAAATTTGTTCAAGAAGGCAAATAGGAAAAAGAGTTGAATAAACATTGTAATCTTGTCTACACCAAAATATTAACTAATCTATCCCATTCTGAAAAGTTGTTGATCCGATAGTTACGGCCTGACCATCGACATAACCAACGAAAATTGAATAAGAACTGGTCCAGAGAAGGTTACTGCAACTATCTCTAGTATTGCATCAGTATGATACGAACTAATGTATTAAATACGTTTAATATCAGGATGTGTATGGTGCAGTGGTTGGAGGTGCACTGCAACACACGTAGAATCGATCCCAGCACCCATAGCCCACCAAGCCCTCCATCCCTCCGGGGTTGGCAAATTGGTCCCAGACTTGTCTGCGAGG